ATCCTGGGTTGATCATACCTTTGTGAGCTCTTCTACTTGCGTCCAGAAGATGTATAGTTTTGACTTAATGCAACTTCTCACTTTTCTTCTTAGTCTATGAGTTTTTCTCCCACCTTGGATTTTACCATAGTAAGGTTTTGTGAGTTTTACTTTTTATGAATTCTTCCGTTAATTTGAGACTCGCATTCACTCATTGTGCCAACGACTTCATCAACTAAACTTACTTCATCGCTGAAGACCTGATGCGTCATTTGTTTGAGTATTTACACACTTAAGGGGGAGTGTTGCAGTCTTATTGGAATATGAATGTGATTGTGTAAATCCTAACATATCTAAGATATCCTTATGAGATTCTACCATATCTCCTAGGGTTAGATATTAACCTATTAGAGTTGTATTAACCTTCCATACTACTATAAATAAAGGCAAAATGGGGTAGAATAGAACACACATCACAATTACACATCTCTCTCTTCTCTCTCTATGCCGCACCCCCTCTCTCTGGCCTCCACAATTGTTCAGTAAATTATGCTTACAACAAATGTAACGTTTTCAACACTAAATCGATATATTTGGAAATGCTTAAATAATTTTTAGTTATAAAATTAAAATATACTGACACGTAAATTTTTTATTATTGAAATAGTGACGTAGATAAAACCAAAGAACCTTAATAAAAAAAATAACTTAATCAATGAAATAGGAAGATGAGTTATGAGCATGGAAGAAAATATCCAAAATATCGGCGATATTTCGCCGATATTTTCGTTTTTTTGGGTTAACGATATTTTAATGAGTATCCAATGAGTTTTCGTCAAAATATCGCGATATTATCGATAATATCGCGATATTAACTATAATATCGCCTAATATCGCGATATTAGCTATAATATCGCGATATTTTGTTCAAAAATTCCTGAAAATTTTGAAAAGTCACAATTTTGAACACACAGGGGTTCGAACCCCTCCCACATTAACTCCTTAGCGCCTTAACCACCATACCACTTATGTTGTTGTGATAATATGCTACAATATTTATATATATGCTTTTGTTTTGAATTCTTTTTACAAGAAACAAATTTGACATTTTCCAAATTTTTTGTGGTATTATATTTTAAATTGTGTCAATTAATTACTTAGTCAATGGCATGTGGTTTTTAATTTTTCTATTTTTTATTTGGTCACTTACATGGTAGGGCTGGAAAAAATTCCGAAAAAATCCCCAAACCAAACCGAAAAAGTCCCCAAACCCAAACCGAAAAATCCCAAACCGAAACCATCCTGAAGTTCGAGAATCCCATCCCGAAAAATACCAAAATTTTCGATATGGGATTGGTTTCCAAATCCCATTTGTTTGGTAATCCCAAAAAATACCGAAGTATTCGGTTTCTTATTGACTTTTGGGTTTTGGTTCTTGAAAACCATTGCCATGGTTGCTAACTACTCTTCAAAATACACTCACTCTACACATAGAGATGATGAAGATAGTGAAAATTTTGAACCTCATAGGAACTCTATGTGGTACTAAGTCACTCATGTATCTTACCATGCAATGTATAAAGTGTAAAATATTGTACTAATTCATTATATATAAATGATTATGGTGTGTTTAGACTTCTTTCATTAATTTCTACATATTTTCTACACTCACAATGTTTGTCAGCTCGCTATATAATTAACTTGATAATGTTAAATCCATCATGCAATGCATTTCCTTCCAATTTTTTGTGATAAACTAATAGATAATTGACTAAATAAACATCCTGCAAAGTTTCAATAAAAATTTCCAAGTTTTTCTTACAATTTCCGTGGTTTCCATGTAATTTTTATCGATATCGATATTATCCCGATATTTCCATTGATATTTCCGTGTTTTCAGACTACCGATATTTCCGATATTACCGATATTTTCTTCCTTGGTTATGAGAGCTCCTAGTCTTTGTTTGGTATGTTATCTTCACCGCTTTTAATTTTAATACATAACCAAGATCATCTCCGGATGCTTTACGTGCGGATCCTGGGGACCAAATGATCTTGACCGTCCACAATAAATTGACGGTTATGAATTAATATTTATTTGACTTATACTTCAACGCAAACCGATTCTTCTTGGCTTGAGCTTCGCTGCATCAATGGCAGCGAACCTGGACAGTGTGGCGTTGAATATTGGCTCTGGTTCAATTTCGTTGAATTTTGAAATGCAAATTCTTCCGTCTTCTCCCCTTCCTCCTGCCCTGCTTCCTCTCTCAATCCAAATTTACAAGTACTAAAATAGGGTTTGGGTTTGGCTGCCAATTAAAAGAAAAAACATATTAAAGTTGGGTATGGACGAAATTTGAGGGAAATAAGAGAGATCAGAGTGGAAGAAATAAGAGAGAAGGATACTCTTCGTATCAAGCTCGCTCACTTATGCAAACTGGGTTCCCTCTTTGCTTCCTGCCCACGTAAAACAGGAACACGAAAAATTGAAGGCTTCTGCAACTGAAAGCAAAATTACAGGCCACAAATACAAAAGGTAGAGTATTGAAAGATAGATAATTTTGCTCTCTTTTTAAAGAGCAAAAAAATGAAATTAAGAATTTTTATGTGGAAAATTGAAAGATTGAAAAAAAAGTTCGTGTTTCATATCTTCTTGTGTTGTGTTTTCATGAAATGAAGCCCTAGAGCTTTCTTCGCTGGATGGTGAGAGAACCGGAGAAGAGAGAAGGCCGGTCAACAGAAGAAAAGGAGCAAAATAAAATATTAATTCATAACCGTTCAATCTTTTGTGGACGGTCAAGATCATTTGGTCCTCAGGATCCCCACGTAAAGGATCCTGGTCCTTCTACTTTCTCAGTTTCTCATATCAATGTCACTAGTTTCAAGCGTTTTTTGAATGATGTGTGTGCAGTGACAGACATGGGATCATCAGTTGTTTTTTACTCCAATAATTTCAAAAAATCACATGTGTATTTGTTTGTATACATATTTGACCCTTATAAACAATTAAAACAAATTAAATTAAAATTTATCTCCTCCTACTTCTTATATTATCTTCATATTTGTCTTTATTTTCTCTCTTTTTATGTATGACTCTATTTTGCGCATCACGTACTCGATGAAATACTATAGTTGAAAAGCCTTAACAATCTTCAACATTATTCACAATATTCGAATAAGCCTTTACAAAAAATAGTCGTTGTAAACATATGTTGCAATAAACTTCTGGCATATGTTGACAAGAATCGGCAGGTGATGAAATAGCCCATCAAAGCTTTTTTGGTTGCTATTATTACCCCATTATTTGTGTGTGAGTATGATGGAAGAACTAGTATTTGTTCTTATGTATTTGTTAAAAAATATCGTAACTCTCTCTTTGGTCAATGGTGGAAACCTGGCAACGTCGAAATACAAATTAACATTTTATGTTTTATTGTTTAATGAAATTATTAATGATGATTATGTGGAGGAGTAGTCGTGGCCAGACAAAAAACAAAAAAAAAAAACAAAAAAAGGATATCTGAAGACTTTAATCTCAGCCAGCAGTGTACATAAACGTACGAATGAGTTTTAACCACTTTGCCTTTTATTTTTTTTGTCAATAACCACTTTTTCTTAGGGGTTAGTCTACCATACCTTTAATACAAAAAGTAATCGGATGTTAACAGTGTAATTATAAACATGGTTAATCTATCGTTACACTTGTAATAGAACGTTCTTAATATAACTACTAACCTTGTTGGAGTAATAACAACGTCATTATTTGATTAACTATAACCTTATAATATTAATGTTTGAATTAAATGGAATCTATACCATTTTTTATTAAACGTACCATCGAATCCTCCTTTTCATAGACCATTATTTGCTGGAAAATTGTAACATATTTCCAAACAAATTAAGATGAAATAACCTAACTACAGCATAACTTGAGTAGGACTCGTGTTCAAGAAATTAAACAGTCCTAATGTCAACATAAAATCTTATTACAATCCAATTACTCTATCAATTAAGTTCATGGGTCTACCATGTGGCGCTATTTCACGATAGCTTTCATGATTAGATTGTTCTTTGTAAGGCAAGAATCAAATATTAGGATCTTCGAATTCAATCAAATATACAAATGGTAAGAGTATCATTTTTGTAGAATCTTGGCTTATTATAATATATTATTGCTCAGTTCATTCTTCTGACTAATATGAAGTCGAGCTTTTTGAGTTTAACATTGTGTTTAGTTATATTGAAAAGATGATGAAGTAAAAGCTTGATAGGATGCATGCTTTGCAAATAATTATGTCGAGAAGGCAATGGGGTTTCTGACAAATAAAAATAATATTATTATGTTTTTCACATCACATTCTAATTTTTAGACATCTTAGACTTTGTCTCCCCTTCTTATTGTATAATTTTTTTATTTTTAATCATCTATGTTCTTTGTTTTATAGCTTGTTTTGTAGGTTTATACCTTCTCTACACTCGTAAGTAGATGATATATTCCTACTGTATAAGACCATTAGATCCGATTTACTTATATGACCAAAAAATCTTAGACATGACAATTTCGTTTATAGCCTGAATACAGTGCTACGACTTATTAATTAATATCCACTATTTCCCGACACTATCTTTTACAAATGCATAATGTGGATTGTTTAATCACGCACTCACTCAGATTCTCTAGCCGGTTTGTTGAAGTGAATTATTGCATCAAGAGTAAAGAAAGAATATATACATTACATTGATATGAATAGTACTATTACACCAAAACCCTAACTCCAATTATAAACAAGGCCAACTTCTTAAGGTACAACCCTAATTAGAGGAAGTAAGCCTTAATAGCCATTAGTTTATGGGGGCCTGAAAACACTGCCCACCCAGCTTTATTTGCCCCCACTTTAGAAAAAAAAGCAAAAGCAGGAATAAAAAAAGATATTACTAAACAAATGAAACGAGAAAATGGAAAGAAAAACATACAATATGCAAAGTTTCTCAACCCCATTCTCTATAAAAAAAATTTAAAAGGTCATAGACTTGAGCTTCTTCAACCTCATCCGAGAAAGCAAACAGTACTCATAAAGCTTTAGTTAGCAAAGTCTTGTTTGGGTGCATATACAGGGCAATATAAGAAAGTGAGAGAGAGAGAGAAAGAGAAAGAGAAAGAGGGAGAGAGAGGGAGAGAGAGAATTGAGAGAGAGCAAAAGAGAAAGGAAAACAAAGAGAAATTCTTTTCTCGCTTCCCTTTATGATCTTTTGATTAAAGCAGCAAGCGCATCAACTGGACAAGTGTTTTTGGGAGTGGTCATAAGAGCAACAAATGATGGCTGGAAACCCTAACTGGTGGAGCAGTATGCATCCACCATCTCTCTTCCCTTCTCAATATGTGCAGCTTGGATCTCCTAATTCACTCCCTCTGCCTGACCATAACCTAGAGCCTCCACAATCCTGGAGCCAGTTACTATTGTACCTCTCTCCCCCCCCCCCCCCCCCCTCCTCTCTCTCTCTCTCTCTCTCTCTCTCTCTCGATTTATCTTTGAAGTAGTATTATATGTTATGAACTGAAATGTTTTGTAAGGTACTTACTTTTAGTTATTTGTTGGATGTTTTAATCATTTTTCAGGGGTGGATTGTCCAGCCAGGAAGATACCTTTGGTACTCTGAGTCATAATTTTCAACCTAAAAGTAGGTTGGAAAGTTGGGAGGAGGACCAAATCTTGATTACACAATATCCAAGGGCTCCTCTTCCTCCTCATGGTGTTGATAATATTATAAAGCAAGAGGCTAACTCCCAGAACAGCATTAACTTATTGGGCAGTAGTCCTCATGGAGATGAAGAATTTCAGCTGCAGACACTTAGCAGCTGCAGGCCTGTTTGGTCCCCAGTTCAAACCATGCCAGTTTCATCCCCTAGCTCTTGTGTCACTAGTTTAAGTAATACTAATAATATATTGGACTTCTCCTATAACAAAACTGACAATAAGAGGAACCAACATGCAGATCACTCATCTGAGGTAATTAAGGGAGAATTATATCCCTTCCAATATATACATATTGGCTTTCTTCAGTTTTGTCTTCATGTACATTAGTTATGTTTTTATTATATATAGGTTTTTTTATTTATTTTTTACTTTTAATTTATGTTTCCCATATGCACATTTGTTTGTAATAGTGTAATAGCACTGACACTGGTGGGATAAGCAAGAAGGCCAGGGTTCAACAATCTCCAAGCCAACCACCTCTCAAGGTAGCAAAATTAATCTCTCTTCGTATTAAGTGAAGTTGAGTAAATCTCTTGTGGTTAGTCTGGTGACCAATATTATATGATCGATCCATCATCAAAATAAACAAGTGCTAAATTAACCATCTTCTAATCTAAATTTTCTTGTTAATTTACTGTGAACCAGGTGAGGAAGGAGAAGCTGGGTGATAGGATAACATCCCTTCACCAACTAGTTTCCCCGTTTGGGAAGGTGAATACTGGGGATTTCATATTTGTTGAGCTTTTTTTTTTCTTTTTCCTTTTTCCATGATAAAATCCAACGAAAAGATTTATTTCCCAAAAACTCAGATCAAAGCAGCTCTTTTACTTCTTTATTTGTATTTATTTCACTTGGATTCTCTATTTTAACATTAAAGAGGACCAGAGAGAGATGACTTATAAAGGGTTTGCTGTGGTGTGTGCATTTGTGTTTCTCTTTTGCAGACTGACACTGCTTCAGTCTTGTTAGAAGCCATCGGGTATATCAGATTCCTTCAGGGTCAAATTGAGGTGATGTTTCTGTCAAAATTTTATATATATATATATATATTACATATATGTTATATTTATACTCTACCCTGCTAGCAACTCAGAATCAGTGAGCGCATGCACTTAAAGTTTTAATAATTCATGCTTTTCGTTACATTCTTTAGTTATATGGAAGTCATAAACTTTATTCCTTTTTCCCTTCCCTTTGTTTGCAGGCCCTCAGCTCCCCTTACTTGGGCAATGCCTCAAAAAACACGAGGAAGCAACAGTCTGTAAGTACTTATATCCCATTTCCCAAATCATAACCAGTTCACTACATTTTTGTTCACCATTCTAAATTGGTGATGAGTGTCACTATTTCAGTGATTATGTGCGATTTAATCTATTTACTTCACCATTTTGAAATTAACTTTGTTCAAAGATCATACGTACGGTGGTGAGCAAAAATATTTCATCTTTCTCTTTCATCTCTCTTTTTCTCACACACACATATACTTTGAGAAATTAAGCATATGGACTAGCTAACTTAATTAATTAATTATTGGGGGTACTGATGAATTAGAATAATGTAATTGATGAAGGAGAATTTAATTACTTTAGGTTCAAGGAGAAAGGAATTGTGTATTTGCTTAAGACCCTGGTCAGGTAGCTTTATTGGATCCATCACCCCATAAAAAGCAAGGAGGGGAGGCTTTGAATATATAAATTAAAGCATCTAACAAATTAATTATTTTATTCATGATAAAGAAAAGCACTCAAGGAACAAGATTCTCAGCTTTACAAAAACTTTAGTAGTATAGATTTATGTAAATTAAAAACATAATATGCTTTTTGGATCATAAAATATAGTCACTATTGGAATCAAAAGTTGAATTTGATGATATAGAAATTGACATTAAAATTACTGATAATATGGTGATATCTTTTTTTTATCTCTTTTCCCCTTTTAGCTGCTGAATGACAATTGCCTGAAAAGCAAAGGCGCTCCTAACCAGGTGCATTTTATGAGTTTGATCACACTATTCATTTCCATTTCTAAATTCAATACAGTAATCATATGCATTATGATGATCAGCATCATTAACCTTAAATCTCATCATTTGCCATTGATTTTTTACAATAATCACAGGAATCACAAGATCATAAGGCAAAGGATCTAAGAAGTAAAGGGTTGTGCTTGGTTCCTGTGTCATGCACTCAGCATGTTGGGAGTGACAATGGAGCTGATTATTGGGCTCCTGCTTATGGAAATGGGTTTTAATTAACCCTAATTTGACAAGCAGTACTAGCAAGTGCATGTTTTTGACAGTAGGAGTACTGCAGCATGGTACTGAGCTTTTGTAGAATGAGATAACATTATGAGCAGTCAATCTGTTGCAAGTTAAATTAAGGTTGATTGGCCATGATGTTATGCATTCTAAATTAGATTTGTGTACTATTGCTAGCTTTATATTGTACTCATTTACTAACTAAATAAAAGCTCAATGTAGTAGTACTATTCTTGTAGGAAGAAGTACTCCATGCATCTCTCCTTATCTCTCCTTTTTTATGGATAGCTTCATGAAGTTCTTGCAGGTTCTAGGATTGAAAACTAATAATTTGGACTAGAGACATAATTAATATCGAGTTATCTTGAATAAAAGGAACTTTTTATTTAAAAAATAACTTGTCAATGATAATTTGGTTTAGTGGCCTCCACTTTGTTGAAGATTGGAGGTCCTCGGTTGAAATATTTTGAACAAAAGAAAGGGAATACTATTTATTTATTTTTAACTAAAAAATTAGTTCAAGTTGCAGCTCGAGAGATCATAGTTAGTTGAACTCTTTACTTCTCCAGAGAAGAATGATAACCAATATTAACACAAAACACGAAAAAAATTGGTAATCGTAACACTATGATTTTGATGATAAGGAAATAATTTAGGCTTTATATATTGAAGTGACAGAACAATATTGAAAGAATCATGATGATATACTCCACACTGAGTTCTTTTCTTCGTTTTTTTTATGCATGCATGTTTCGTTTCCGAATTTTTCATAAATGTTGATTATAGAACGGAAAAACTTTGATCTGGTGTTCATGTTGTATGCATCAAACGAATTCGCCATCGATCGCAATGAACTCTCATTCATAAAGACTCTAAAATTAAGATCCCATCTAACGAAATAAAGATAAATCCAACTAGGCCAAATAATCATTGATTCCAGAACTTATTCATCTATCATACAAGACCGTATAAATAAGTTATATAGAACTTTTGGATCTATTAATCTCGAATTTTACTCTTGAGTATACTTCTTACACTTGCGTTGTAATTCGTTCATTAATCTCACTGCCTCACACATTCATCTTTAATAATTTCGAAACCCTACGCATATTTTGGCCTTTGCCATATAATTTCTAGGTTTCTAGCTTACTGGAAAGTTGAGAGACTGATGCCAGACACTCATGTGGGAGATGGCTGAGCCTGACTAGAATATGCTAAGATAGACCCCATTTTTGGGTCCTTTTGGACCACTTTTAGAGATTGCACTCAAGTGACATGCCCCATCCCCCCACACGCTCCTCAAAGCAACAAAAGCACCTCAGCCTTTCGTAATCTTGACGTTATAAATTGCATCACAAAACCACACTTTAATTATTTGTAAAATCTATTTTCTTGCATGAATTGAAGCTATGTCGTTAATTCGTTAACAGATATTTTCTTGTCCATTTCTCATTCTTCCCTACTCAGGTTGCTAGGACATCATCAATTAATAGAAATACTAGCCAAACTTTAATTCAAAAAAGAAAGAAAGAAACGGAAAAAATTAAACCCTAATTCCAAATGCATAATACAAGCTATGTCGTTGTGTTGTTTTTTAGTTTTATTATGCTTATGGTTTCATTGTTTGTTCGCTTGGTAAGGGACTATAAGGACATCTTCACGATATCTCATTGCAAGGCTTCTTTGCCGAATGAACGTCATCCCTTGCAAGTTCATAAGAAAGTGATGCATCATGAGCGTCATCGTTTCGTTTGGTTAAATGTGATTATGTGGGGGTAGGTTATGTATTGTCTTTCTATATTGCATTGTAATCTTCAAATTGTATTTCATTTTATTTGGTCAAAGAAATATTTATTATCTTTAAAAAAACCTTAGGTTAGTTGTATAGTATAAAGTTTGTTTTTGCTGTAATTGAGAAAATAATAATCAGATTTGTTGCATGTTACAAACTAATTTTATTGCCATAAATGTTCCAAAAATGAGCCAAACTTTAAAAATAAAATATGATGCCCTAGCCCTAGGGTATAAGGTGTAATTAATCAATTTTATTGTCGTCCATGCATATCGCTCGAACCCCAAATTTTGGAGAGAGGATTGTGCAAGACCAAATTACAAACTTACGTGTAATCAGTTTCCTACCAAAGAAAAAAAAAACTTACGTGTACTCTTGCATCTGTTAGAACAATTTTAGAAAATAAAAAAAAATTAATATAAACTCTAATAATAATAAGAATTATGAAATTAAATTACAACAAGTGTAGATATAATCAGTGTAAACGAAACTATATAGGACTCGAGGTGTTCTTTGGTGAATAGATGCAATGGTTTTGCACCATTTGTAAACCTACACATCTCTTATATGTATTACGGTAAATTACCTTTTCTCACCTCAATTTTAGGTCATATAACAAACTCATGCTTCATTTTTGAACATTACAATTACTAGTAGAAAAAACCATTTGTGTGACAAAACTTTATGCGACGAAGCAACTGATGTTGCACAAGGTTTCTTCGCGCAACAAACTTAAGTCTCCATTGCACAAGTTCGTCGCACAACAAGTAAAGCACCGACCATTTCGTCGTGCAAAGCACCTTTGCAAGACGAATAATTTATTCTGTCATGCAAAGTTTGCAGAAAAATGTGTGTAGGGCTATAATTTGGCGCCAAAAACTTATGCGCCGTCTTTATACTTGCGCCACGAATATTTGTCGCACAAGGTGTCAACATTTACTAGACAGTTAGCTTTTTTAGTCAAAATTTTTAGTGTATGTCTAACGTTTTTTTTTATGTTTTTTGCAGCCAAGAAAAACACCCGAGGACCTTGCCAACAACTGAAGATGAGGTAGGTCACCCGGGTAACAAACGGGCGTATCACGATAGGATACGATGAGAGGCATCGAGTTGCACCTACGCCAGAGTAACATTATGTATTGGTCCACAGTGTGGGACACATCGTTCAAACCAATTGCCCTATGCTGTGGAAATCGTGGTGTGAGATCCCGACGGAGTTGAAGGCCAACGTCCACAACTTTTTATCGATAAGTACCTAGCTTTATTTTATTCAATTTTATATAAAGTTCATATATTTATATTTAAAAAATGTTTTCCACATTTAACTTTATTTTAATTTAATATTTGTTAATTATTTGAACCACATTAATACTAGCCCATTGTGAGGTTAAGTCCCCTTCCCCTTTAGTGTAAATAATATCATTTGTTAAAAAAGAAAATACTTGCTAAATTGTAGACAAACTACAATTTCGACAACATAAACAAGTCGATGAACAACTACCTAAATAGGCTGTTCTCGGATCGGTACAAGCACTGGAAGAGCGACCTCCACAAACATTTTGAGTTGTTTGATGATCCGGAGGTCACTCTCGAGGAGGGTTGCCCGTTGGAGTTGAAGGACCGGCCGGACAACAGGGCGTGGCTCTGCACCCATTTCTAGAGCCTGCCTATATACATATATATATATATATATATATATATATATATATATATATATAAGATATATATATATATTTGGTACGTATGTAAATATTTATTACTAAATTATTTATAATTTTTTAAAATTATTACTAATTTGGTTATTTTATTTTCTTTAAATATTACACTAATACGTTTATTTTATGTTAACAAAAGAAGCCAAAGGTGAACAAGATCAACTTGGACAAGAAGACTCTTTTCCATCATTCTGATTCGAGGTCCTTCTCCTCTAGGATAAAGGTGCGACAACAGGTAATAAAGTGTTTAATATTGGCACTTCCAATTTCTGACAAATATATTTTTTTTTCCACACTAACCTTTTTTTTATTTTTATTTTTGTTTCAGGGGGTTCAAAATTCCCCGAGGTAAACGTCTTTAACGACATTTATGTTTGCCCCAGGGATGAGCTCACCGAGCCACTGCATGTAAGTAAAAGTTAATTTTAAATTAGTATCTTACGCTTCCAAGTATTATAGCATTTAATTTAATATTAATTATTACTAATCCGAGTTTTATTGTCATGGGCAACGATGGTGGGGAAGAACCAGTCTGTGCTTTAGGAGTCCGCCCGAGGATGCTGGGTTTCAGATCCTGACTAAAACCTTGGATCAGACCCTCAACACAGCCACAAGGCCAAGTCACGGCTTTGAAGCATTAAGTGGCCAACCTAAGGAGTAAGCTCAAGCTTATCGTTGAGGCCCTCAACTCGTCTGGCATCCGTCTCTCACCAGGCATTGTTGACCTTTTCACCTCCGCGCCCATCTATATAGAGCAGCCCCAAAATATGTCGGCCATCGAACCCCTCCACCCGCAGCAGTCCTAAGACCTGTCGACCTCCAAGCCCATCTGACATCTTACCCAGTAGCCCAACTCGTAGCCCTCCTTCCAGCCTGCCCTGTAGCCCACCTTGTTTAATGACCAAATAGATTATCACTTCCTTTTTTTCTTAGTTTAAAACTTTTGATTTGTACCTACATTTATCTTTGATTATAAATACATTATTTTTCATTCTATTTATTATTGTTACAATTTAATTAAAAAAAATTTAATTATTATTTTAAATAAAATATGTAACCAGAACAAAAAAAAATTAATAAAAATAAAAAAATTGAACCATGCATGATGGAGACTTCGTCGCGTAAAACCTAATGCAACATAAGTTTTTTTGTTGCGCAATAATTATAATGATAATATTTTAACAATTTATTTATGTTAAAATTAATTCATTTTGTTGCTTTAATGTTTACTAGACGAAAAATATTTGTCGCGCGAAGTTTTATTCAACGAAGGGCTTGCGTCCCATTTGTTGTCTTGTAGCGAAAGGCTTATGTAGCTTTATTTTTTGCTTGACAAAGTGATTTAGTCCCCCTAACTTTTGTGCGATGAAGGAGAGATTCGTCGCGAACTTTGTTTTTTGGGCGACGAAATTCAAAAAATCTTCGCGCAATGTCATTTTTCACAACCCTATCACGACGAACACTGCGTGACGGAATGCACGTCATTTAAACATTACATAAGACACCACGAATTTTAGGAGGGAGAAAAAAAAAAAAACCAAAACCTACCACTAATTAAATCTTTCATTCATGCACCAAATTCCATAGCAAAGCTCCATCTTTTGCTATGCTTTTTCTCCATTTTCTTCTGTGTTTCTTGGGTGAGTTTAAAATGGGTAAGGTTCTTCCTGCACATAAGGGGAGGTGCGCGGCTCAAGGATGAATTCTGCCAGCGCATGAATCTAGGCAAACTAGATTTAAATCTGGTTGGGTGTGAAGTG